ATCTGCCAAGACCACAGGTAAGCCAGATCCAGAATCTGCCAAGACCACAGGTAAGCCAGATCCAGAATCTGCCAAGACCACAGGTAAGCCAGATCCAGAATCTGCCAAGACCACAGGTAAGCCAGATCCAGAATCTGCAAAGACCACAGGTAAGCCAGATCCAGAATCTGCAAAGACCACAGGTAAGCCAGATCCAGAATCTGCCAAGACCACAGGTAAGCCATATCTAGAATCTGCGTGTGTAAATAGAAGCACTTTACTGACCATAACATGCGTTTTCTTTACACAGGATCATTTTGACAGCAAGATCCCGCATAGATATCTGTATTTTATTATGCTTGGGTGCATAAGCCTTAAGATGTAAATAGTGTAAATTAGAAAATTATTTGTTAAAGGCCAAGAGAAGCTTACCTAATGTAGGGGTGCTTGGCCTGCTTGTTACAGCTCCTACAGTAAGTCTTGGCACTGTTATTCTACTTGCTGAAGATGGGATCTAAGAGAGGAAAACTTGACATTGTTATAACAATTACAGGTAACAGTGATTAAGATACCCACAACATTCTGAAAATACAAAATATGAGGCTAAAATAAAACACACATAATACAGCTGTATGAAACATGCACCCATGGCTCCAAGACATTACAAAAATCTCAGCAGGGCACAAGCCAAAATAGATTTCTACAAAATTAAGTGTTTTAACTATTGATCACAAATTCCCCCTCTCTATTCAGTCTCAGGCCGGTCTATTCAGACATGACGCCGCGACCCACTTTTGGGTCGCGACCCACGAGTTGAGAACCACTGATCTAGATTTAACAAACCAGAAAGAATAAGGCGGCATTCACACCTCTCTACCACTAAGGTCAACAGAAACACATGAAAGCTCACGTCAATGTGCTTTCTGTCATTTCTTGCAATGCACATTAAAACATGTGGTTTAATGCTTTTTCTTTTTTTGGACCGCTCCAAGATCACTCCCGTAATAGACTATAATATTAATACAAATAAGTTAACAAAATGTGAGATTGTAGTCCATCACAGGAGTGGGCTTGAAGCTTTGACTACTTTACAACACACACACAGGAACCATGGGGAACATAAGTAGCCACTCTCCAGAAGAAAGGACAGTGTCAGCAAGAAATGATTTGAGGATTTACATCCGTGTGATACACAAATAAATACATTTTTGTTAATAGTTATGGTACTTGAATGCATTTTTAAGATTAAACTCCTGTGTTTAGTGTCACTTTAAAGAAAACTTCTAATTCAAAACTATTCTTTGGTTGCCTTCCATGTACTGCATGTCTGACATATACAAACACATTTTCAACAAATGAATCACTGAATTCAGGAAATAAATTGCAGTTTAAAAAAACAAAAAACAATTAGCACACATATATGACATGCTAAAGTTTCTTTCATGCAGAGTTTTCTACCAGTAGGGATGAAAATTTAGTACAGCAGTGTGTATGCACCAACAAAGACTTGCTATTGTCAACCGACTGCTAAGATTTTATTACTGATACATACTGTTTAATCAAGCAGTAAGAATTAATTTGCCTGATTTGGGCAGAGGGCATAAGGAATCAGTCATGTACAAAGTGTTAGACAAAAACATTTGCACTCACAGGTCAAAACTAAAATAAGCCGCTTGACTTCACACAGCTTTCCCAAAAAAAACCCCACAATGACAGACATACCTTTTTATGTATTGTTTTAAGCCGATAGTTTGGTGCGGTAAGACAGTATCTGTCCGGAGGCAATCTGGGACCTGCGTAAGGTTTTATTAGGGGAAGTGGTGTCTGGTTCTTCTGTCTTGCAATATCTAGTAAAAACTAAGAAAATAAATAGGTAAATATGCAATACATGCATACTACAACATACATTGTGTAGTGTGTGTAGGAGGGCTACAACATACATTGTATATTGTGGGTCAAAGGAGGGCTACGACATACATTGTATAGCGTGTGTAGAAGGAGGGCTACAACATACATTGTATAGCGTGTGTAGAAGGAGGGCTACAACATTCATTGTATAGCGTGTGTAGAAGGAGGGCTACAATATACATTGTATAGCGTGTGTAGAAGAAGGGCTACAACATACATTGTATAGCGTGTGTAGAAGGAGAGCTACAACATACATTGTATAGTGTGTGTAGAGGGAGGGCTACAACATATATTGTATAGTGTGTGTAGAAGGAGAGCTACAACATACATTGTATAGTGTGTGTAGAGGGAGGGCTACAACATATATTGTATAGTGTGTGTAGAAGGAGGGCTACGACATACATTGTATAGTGTGTGTAGAAGGAGGGCTATAACATACATTGTATAGTGTGTGTAGAAGGAGGGCTACAACATACATTGTATAGTGCGTGTAGGAGGGGTGCTATGACATACATTGTATAGTGTGTGTAGGAGGGCCACAACATATATTGTATAGTGTGTGTGGAAGGAGGGCTACGACATACATTGTATAGTGTTTGTGTAGGAGGAGGGCTACAACATACATTGTATAGTGTGTGTAGAAGGAGGGCTACAACATACATTGTATAGTGTGTGTGTAGGAGGAGGGCTACAACATACATTGTATAGTGTGTGTAGAAGGAGGGCTACAACATACATTGTATAGTGTGTGTAGAAGGATGGCTGTGACATGCATTGTATAGTGTGTGTAGAAGGATGGCTGTGACATGCATTGTACAGTGGGAAGAGAAGGACGGCTGTGACATGCATTGTACAGTGGGAAGAGAAGGATGGCTGTGACATGCATTGTATAGTGTGTGTAGAAGGATGGCTGTGACATGCATTGCACAGTGGGAAGAGAAGGATGGCTGTGACATGCATTGTATAGTGTGTGTAGAAGGATGGCTGTGACATGCATTGTACAGTGGGAAGAGAAGGATGGCTGTGACATGCATTGTA